TCTTACAGACCCTATAACAAGTAGAGAAACTGATAGCGAACAGCATGGATCCTGATCAGACTGCGCGGATGCGCAGGCTGGTCTGGATCCATGCTGGTCGCAAATGCACTATGTTGGTTTTGTCGTGATGCGGCTCAAATAACTTTTCACTAATGCTTAGAGACATCAGCTATGACAATATTTTCCTTATTTTACATACTTATAACTTTGAACAATAGTTGATACATCTTGCTCAGTCATTATTGTTTATTTACATTTCTGACCTCTTAAATATTTGACTTGTTTTCCAAAACTTGTTTATTTAACTATCTTTTATTTGGTTCTTAATGATTGAAATTTTGACTGTTTTCAAAAATTTTTCTTTGATTATTATAATCATATTTCATTGATGTTGTAATTTCTTTTTGATGTTTAAAAATCTCAGCTAAAGATTATCGATTTTATTGAACTTGGTATTTTCATTAAATAATTATCATTTAATGATACCCTTTGATCTTCTAACATAGAAGAATTCATATTCATAGAATGTGCTGTAATGGTATTTTTCAGATGTTAAAGGGAAATCTGTCAGTTAAAACTAGCTGGTTTATAAAAATTATAATATGTGAAATTTTATGTTCTACTTATACAGGTCTATTCACAGATAAATTTTATTTTTGAAGTTATTAATTATTGCCTGACTGAAATGGCATGTGATACCTGTTTCAAAAAACATTATAAAGCAAAACAGACTATCAAAATTACAAAATATGTAAATTGCGTCATTTAAAATAACATATTATTGAAAAAGCGACCATTTCTTGCATTCTCTAAACTGCAGGATAATTAAAAAATCATGTTAGCAATATTTTTTTCTTTACCTTACATATTTGTTGGGTGTTGCCTACATTTTTTACCAGTACTGCTCCTCCTGCGTAACACAAAAGTTTGTTTGTTTGTTGAATTTGATTATTATTGCCTTGATCCTGAAATTTCAGCTAGTAATAGCGACAAACACCCTTAGTTATACATTACTTGCCCTTCACGGCAGAACTACAGCAAAAATTATACAACCATGCCAGAAAAAGCTCAGTCTCACTTAAATTAGCCTAGACGTTATCCAACGATCTTGCAAAAATTTTGCTTGTACACAATGTTCTCTGCATTCTCTAAAAAATCAGGTAATGAAAATTGCATGTTAGCATGTGATAATTAGTGCGTTGTTTGTTTCATTTTACGCCTTTTCCCAACAGTATTTCAGTCATTAGGGTAGTTTCCTAACCATCTTTCCTGGAAAGTTTCACCAGTACTAGACCACAGACGCTTGGGGTTTGGAGCTCAAAACGCCTTTAAAATCCAAATAAAATGCATATTTGTCAATCCCAGGACATGTACTGATCATATATATCAAAAAATCTTAATATATGCCGTTTTGAAAAAAAATCATATTTCAACAACTATAATAATGTGTATTATTATAGTTGTTGAAATATGATTTTTTTTCAAAACGGCATATATTAAGATTTTTTGATATATATGATCAGTACATGTCCTGGGATTGACAAATATGCATTTTATTTGGATTTTAAAGGCGTTTTGAGCTCCAAACCCCAAGCGTCTGTGTACTAGACTACCTTCCTCCGCGCTAAACTACCAAAGCTTTGTTTGTTTGTTTGTTTTATTTTACGCCCTTTTCCAACAGTATTTCAGTCATATAGGCGGGTAGTTTCCTAACCATCGTTCCTGGAGAGTTACACCAGTACTAGACTACCTTCCTTCGCGCTAAACTACCAAAGCATCTCCCGGGGAATGAACCCACGCCAGAGAGGTAACTGGATTAGAAGTCATTAACTCTGACCCCTCGCCCACGGAGGCGGTTTTTATTAGTGCGTGCAGATGATGATAAATTTATTTATAATGCCCTTAAACAAGTTTCTGTACCCCTTCTATAAACAATTTTATTTCACTGATATTACTATAATTTGCCTCTTTCTGAAAACTGTGATTCAATATCACATGCAATACATTGTCTCTTTGAATTTTATATTTTTTTAGGGAAATTAATTATTATAATTTATTAATGAAATGCAAAATGCAGCAATAACCATAGACAATGAGTCTGCAAGACCGACCTATTTTACAAACTGAATTATAACATAGATGTCAGTCTCTGCCCACCATTGTCTATATAATAAAAAGCCCCAATGCACAATTTGTTGGGAAAATTGACGATATGTTATAAAAAATTTATAAAAAATAATTTAAACAAAACCTATATATTATACAGAATATACCCTATTTGAACATCATACATGATCTCTATAAACATGTAAATCAGGGCTTTATAAAACACAATTTTTATATCACCAAGTATATACAAACAGGGCAGGTCACAGAGAACAATAAACATTGCCAAACTTCATTAGAGAATATACTCATAAACCTGTCATGTTCACCGCAAACTATTTCCCCATTTAGATAAGTAAAGTCGGCCAAATTCACAGCTTTTACTGTACATTCGACATACATATACATACATATACATTCTTTATCATGACAGATAAATTACATTATAAATTACATTTTAAAACCTTTTAAAGTCATTTTCACTTTCTATAGCACCCATCCACCCACATCTTTATCTAAACTTATAAAAGACACTTAAAAGATATGTCCCTTTTCTTTTCCTCCTTTAGAACTTCACGTTTGAATTATATGTAAAAAAAAAACTTATTTTATAAAGAGTTTTCCTTCTTCAAAGTAACTCTTTAAAAAGTTGGCGATTAAGAAAATGAAAATTTAACTCCTACCATCTTGTATTTTTTGTTATCCATACAATGATACATATAAAATCCTTTTCAAAAATGTAAATACTGACTTAACACACTGCTACATATAACTGCATCCGTACTGAATTCAATCAAATAAATTACACCCTGCCAATAGAGTGGATTAACCCTAGATTAGATATGTCAAACTAGGACAGGTTCATTTATCTGAATGTATGGGGGGAATCTGATTAGATAGTTACAATTGAAAAGGAAGTTTATTCATCAAAATGACTACCATTGATAAAAAAGAAACATGAATAAAAAAGAAACTTGAAACATAAGAAAATCTGACTACATAATGAGTAATAAAACTTCTGAAATTTTCAGGGTTTTTTTGTGTGATATTCTACCTTTAATGAATTCATTAAGCCTGTATTAGATGTCTTACTTCTGAATTAATTACTGCAGTTTTATGTAATTATTTTGCAACATAATTCAATTTTGAGACAAAAAAAAATTATTTAAATGTTATAAAAATTACTATTTAAACCTGCACAAACCAAAAGAGATTAGCCTATGCCACTTATTACAGAGTCAAGAAAACCTGCACATATGTGCAATATCAGGCTCTTTAAAGCTGCAGGTACCTCATTTTATACATTTTGATATAATAAAATCCCTAAAATGCAAAAACACTATTCGAAATTAAAAGCTGGACAAATCCATTTCACAAATTAAGGAGGAAGTTTTAATTAAAAATCTGCGAAGAAGAAAAAAAATCTGTAAATAAATTTATGCAACTTTTCTTATGGCTGTTTTAAAGTATAATGCACTACAATACATAACACTGGTCATGTTCTGGTCATGTTAAAGTTGTTATATCCAATTAACTAAGTGGACATAAGTTTTAAAAGTCAATTAACCCAGTAAGATTACATTAAGATAATAGGGTCAGTGGGATATTATAACCTGGGGAGGTTTGACCTCTACTTTGTCAAACAGTTTGGTCAATCTTTTATAAAGATTAGATCAAACATCATAACATTGAAATCTGTTAAAATTTAAACATCAACTAAAATTCAGTGCTAAGTTTTATTACTCCTTTTTCCAACAGGAAAGAGACCCCCACAAGAAATAAAATTTAAAACACCGCCATATTTCTGTTTTCGCATTGGTCAAAAAAAAACATATTTATATTCCAGAATGTACTTTATAACATACAATCATGTACTTTCATTGAGAGAAATGAAGATGGTATTTTTTTTTTATTCTTTCAAACATGACATGCCTCAGTATTTCTTTTTGTGTCAGGAAAGAAAATACACATGTAGGACTTTAGTCCTCCTATATATAATATAATGTATTACATCTATACTATGATATAATTTATGAAGTACACTGTAGGTCAAATATATTGTACAGTCGGACATGTATTATAAACACATTAGAAGTATAAAGAAAACATGTCATTTAAGGAAACTATATCACTTTTCCTTTTAATGAAATCATTAACTAAGACTAATGATGGTGAAATCTGAATATTTACATCCACAGAGCTTGTTCCAATCATTCTGGTGTAGTGACTAAGACTATAAATTATAGTACTAATGTTATCTATTTATAGTATCATAAATGACTTGAATGACTATATAAACATAGTTGAGACCCTTATCCAGGGCTCAAACTTACTAGCCCTTAAGACTTGTGAGACTGTCAAATTAAGCATCAGGCCACCTGTGACTTAAGTTTGCATGAACTTTTCATGTTGAAGAAGAGATCCAGCTATTAGGTTTGTCCAGTTTTTCCTTGGTGTCATGAAAACTTTATTCATAAAATTTGTTTCAACATCTTCACCAGTATTCTATGTTATATATACATGATATAGTAACAATACAAAGGAAACAGCTTCCAGTGTAAAACACCTCCCAAAGAAACCAGATGGCTCATTTAAATTGTGTTTGAAAGAAAATGTAAAGACAATCTTCTGAAGATTAAATTGTACAACTTTCCTCCATATATCTGTTTGGTTCATGTTTTGTATAAAAATTCTGGGATATAATTTCTTTACTAACTGTGTGGCTGGTGTCATAATATCTGTTTTTTACTGGTAAATCAATTTACAGCGTTTTACCAGCATATCTTTACTGTGGTAACACCACTGCGGTCATAAAAAACTATTACAACATGTGCACACACGTGCTTTTGTGCATTTCACAACATTCAACATTCTGCAGTGAAACATAAACTTACTCTGGATCTGGCGTTGGTGTAGCACTGCGGTTCTTTCTGTCCAGCTTGTTCGCCGACTTTGCTCGCTTTAGATTCGTCTTGAAGCCTTTCCGTATCAAGAAATTCTGAAACAGAAAAAAACAGAAACTTAGAGAAACAGTGAAGAAAGATATTTACTTCTTGCTACTTAGACTCACGTTTTTAAAGTGACATCATGGCCACCCAATTGTAAATGGTAATTGCACAGGAAAAAGGCAAAATAACTTTACACTTTGCCATCATTGTGTTCAAGTCTATAGTTTATTATGCAAAAATAATAAATAATCCATGTGACCCTTGGACATATTTCTATAAATTAATATTGTTCAGAAAACAGTAGGGCAGTCTTTGTATAACTAACATAGTTTTTTATAATTTATCCTAAAATATATTACTAATTACTAATTCAACTCAAAAGAGCATAATGTCACTTTAATTAGACATGGATTTAAACAGGCTACCCTAGACAATGAACCATAAGGCTCCATTTCCATATGTAGAACAAATAACAAACATTAGCATAGCCATGAATGTTATTTAACATTAATTAATGTAAGCTAAATTCTGTGAAATCTACCTCAGGACAGCCTTGAAAAATATTGCCTAATACCCCAATCACATATTCACGGAATACGCCCACGGAAGAGCCACGGATTATTTCTGGTCAGTAGCTCTCCGTATTGTAACCGTAACCAATCGTAGTAGTCCTTGTATATCCGTAGCGATCCTTGGCAATTTTTAAACATGCACAAAAATTTGCTACGGAAAAATCAACCGTAGCGTAATCCCTACTAGTCCGTATTAATCCGTACTGATACATACTGGTCCGTACGAAAACAGTAATAGTCTGTACTGATTCGTAGTCCACCAACTTGTCAAGGATTTCCACGGTTTTACTGGTACGGAGAACGTATTTGTACGGTTACCCTACGTATAAGCTACGGTTTTAAACTATTACGGAAACATGTGCAATACGTGCTTTTTGTGCATTTCACAACATTCAACATTCTGCAGTGAAACATAAACTTACTGGATTTCTGGCGTTGGTGTAGCACTGCGGTTCTTTCTGTCCAGCTTGTTGGCCGACTTTGCTCGCTTTAGATTTGTCTTAAAGCCTTTCCGTATCAAGAAATTCTGAAACAGAAATAACAGAAATTTAGAGAAACTGTGAAGAAAGGTATTTACTTCTTCTACTTAGAGTTTGTAAAGTGACATTATGGCCACCCAATTGTAAATGGTAAGTGCACAGGATAAAGGCAAAATAACTTTACACTTTGCCATCATTGTGTTCAAGTCTATAGTTTATTATGCAAAAATAATAAATAATCCATGTGACCCTTGGACATATTTCTATAAATTAATATTGTTCAGAAAACAGTAGGGCAGTCTTTGTATAACTAACATAGTTTTTTATAATTTATCCTAAAATATATTACTAATTACTAATTCAACTCAAAAGAGCATAATGTCACTTTAATTAGACATGGATTTAAACAGGCTACCCTAGACAATGAACCATAAGGCTCCATTTCCATATGTAGAACAAATAACAAACATTAGCATAGCCATGAATGTTATTTAACATTAATTAATGTAAGCTAAATTCTGTGAAATCTACCTCAGGACAGCCTTGAAAAATATTGCCTAATACCCCAATCACATATTCACGGAATACGCCCACGGAAGAGCCACGGATTATTTCTGGTCAGTAGCTCTCCGTATTGTAACCGTAACCAATCGTAGTAGTCCTTGTATATCCGTAGCGATCCTTGGCAATTTTTAAACATGCACAAAAATTTGCTACGGAAAAATCAACCGTAGCGTAATCCCTACTAGTCCGTATTAATCCGTACTGATACATACTGGTCCGTACGAAAACAGTAATAGTCTGTACTGATTCCTAGTCCACCAACTTGTCAAGGATTTCCACGGTTTGGTACGGAGAACTACGTATTTGTACGGTTACCCTACGTATAAGCTACGGTTTTAATACGGATTAATACGGCATTGGCACGGAAAGCCACGATCGTAATACGCTGTACTACGGAGAGGCAAGGATTAGCACGGTCTTATACGGTTTATTGCAATTTATTGCAATACAAAACGGTACGGAATGGTACAACCCACCACTGTTTAGTACGGATAAATTAACTATCATGTACTTTTTCAAGGCTATAAATACTACCTTCTTGTTAAAAACAGACATATATATTTGCAGGGACATTTAATAAATGATAATTGCCATTTACTGACTGCAACTTGAAATGGCTCAGAATGCGGAGGCAGTGGTCGAGCTGCTTGATGACATGCATAGAAGTAAATTTATATTAATATCGTACTACAATTCATAAGAAATAGAAACATTAGATCGTGAAAATGGAGTAAATATGCACATAAAACAAAGTGTCTCATAAGCCTCGGAGACTGGCCCTTGAGTGATAATAAGATTAATTAACAAGCTTTTTACATATTTTTAAAACATAAACATCACGATAATTAATGTAATTGTAAGATGAACAGCAAATCTTAAAATTAAAAGAGAAGCAGTATTGATCAACATTTTTCATTAATGATTACTAGTCCATATCTAATCAGGTAAGAGAAAACAGACGAGATGGAGGACTAGAGATGGGCTTTTACAAAGACCGCTTCATGTTTAGTATGAGGCTCTCATGGCCGAACTTGTTGAGGATCCAGCGTCCTTCAAGAAATTCACTTTAATTAGACCTGATGTGGCTCGGGGTTCGGACACGATTAGGCTGAATCCTCTCCGCCAAAATCATTGAACGCTGCAATTCGTTTTCTAGATGTTCTTTTCTTTTGAGGCATTTTGAAAATGAGCAAGGAAGAGGTTGTGGAAGGATGTATTAGGTCCGTATAGATCCGTGGCAATTCGTTCTTCTCCGTTTCAATACGTTCTTCTCCGTATCAGACCGTACTTATTCGTACTAACCCATGTTTATACCGTAGCATATCCGTAGTGCGTCCGTCCTGATTCGTGTTGCTCCGTATCAAACCGTGTTGGTCCATAACAATCCGTGTCTCTCCAGGGGCTTTTGGTGGTAAATCCGTTGGACTCCGTACTCATACCGTTGTGTGTCCGTACTGGAACCGTAGCGGACTACGGAATTTCACTATTCCGTAGTAATCCGTGAACGATTAGACCGTAGCTCTTCCGTGGCATTATCCGTGAATATGTGACCGGGGCATTAGCCATAATTATTTCTAATGGTTCAAGAGTCAATACTCTCATTACAAAAAGCTTAGTTTTCAACTAATAGATCTATTATGAGCCAAACTTATACTATATTATTTAAATTGAGCATGATGTTACTGAAACCTTTTCTACTGGAAAACTTTAAAAATTGCAAAAAATCAAACATAATTATGGAAATATTATTACACAGTCTAATGCTATAGCTAGACTGGCATTGTCAAATTTTAACTTCAATTTATACAGAAGTTTCTCATTTCTCGACATTCATGCCAATGTGAAACCTGAAAGCAATCTTTCACCATTATAAAATTGGCATCTTATCTCGGCACTAGTTTCCTGTAGGGAAGCAGCCTACGATGATAACATATCAACCTGATAATTGCCGCGACTGATCCTAAACTCAGCTATAACTAGAACAAAATTTAACTAATCAGCTTTAACTATAAATTATACTTTCTGAAATTCCTTCAGACATATTTTTAGAAGTTTTATCTAGGTTTTTATCTTGTACAAAATATTCATGTTGAAGTTAGAATGATCTTAGATAAAGACCGAAATTTTAATTTGAGAAGAATTTTGAAAATTGAGACTAAACAAATCTAAAAATAGAACAAATTTATCATTTATTTTTAATTGACCAATCATAAAACTGGTTGTTCAAGTTATGAATGCAAAAGATCTGTTTTATTAGCCAGGCTTTTGAAAAGTTGCATAAATTTATGTGCATTTCAATTTTCTTTCATTGTTTTTTTTAGTTTTTAAACTGATATGATTGAAACTTACACAAACTTATCAAGAATTCAAATCTGTATCTAATATTCAAGGTTAGACCCAAAAGTACATTTAGATATTTTGATACAACACAAGGTTAACTGAAGGCAGTCCTTGAATATTAACCTATATATTATTATAGCAATATAAATATAGCCATAAAAGAAAACAATTTAAAAAGATTCATAAACTTTATCATGCTGTCTGGTGTAAAGGTTTTCAATGTTTGGTATGAAACTTGTCCATAAGTAATTAGTTATTTGTTTTTACAGTGCACCAACACAGGTCATATGGTGCTGAAACAGGAAAGATGATTTTGGCTAACCAGAGTGTTACAAACTTAAAGCAACACCAAGGGGTCAAAACCACCTCACCTGGAGCTAAGAGATGCATAGATCCAGTTATTTGAATGCTTACCATCATGCAGGGATAAACAGTGGCTAAAAATGATGTTGAATATAACTATAGAGTATATTGAATGAGTGTAAGTTTAATTCTGAATTTATAGAGCTAGTTAAATAAAATATTATGCGAGCCTCTGGTGAGAATAATATTATTTTATGCAACAAGTTCAATAAATTCAGTAATGAACTTACATGAATAAAATTTACGTAAGTTATCACATACCAAATATTAAGACCATTTGAAGTGAAAAAGAAAGAACCATTTTTCATTGATGCACCTAAAGTATAACGTTTAGCGCGTATTAATGCTTTGTATAACGCAAATGATGTCACATCAAAATATATGCATCATGCCATGCAATACCATTTTTACGGAGTCACAAAAGCAGCACGGGTATGGGTTAAATTCAATCAAGCAGACTCAGGTGAGGCAACACTGGCATGCAAGCAAGCCTCCCTAGTCTGTTTGTTACGGTAAGTCATTTATAATGGCAACTAGATCTCACAGATTTAATGATGGGAGGAGAAATGAGGAGATCTCATCAATTATCAGCAATGTCTCAGTTTAAAACCAGAGGCTGATTTAATTACATAGGTAAAACAACAAGACAGTCTACTGGATGACCTGGTATCATACCTGTAGTATTAAATAAGCCAATTTACTTAGATAGATTTAGTAACATTGATATGTACGTTTAAAATTTCGAAGCCCTGAGCAGAATTATAGGATGGCACATAAAAACTTTACAAAACTTCACAGCAGCCTATACTGGTACAGTACAGTCACAACACTGAGTTAAAGATCTGCGCTAGTGAGTTAACATCAAATATATTCATTCTAACTTGATTGTAACTGGGGCTAACTGGTATCAATGTCATACTTTGTCACCTTCATGCAATAACTGGTTTACTCTAATACATTTAGAAAGACTAAACCCGTTACTGCACTACGGTGACAATATGTGGGAACATGCTCATGACCCAAAAGAGCACATAACCAAGATCTCTAAGTTTAGAAGCAGACCACTCACTAATGCTTGCAATCCATTGTTGAAATTGGTGACAAAACAACAGTAACATGAAAGGCTACCATTTAAACACAAATCTCTTCAAACATTGGGTGTATTCTTTTAATTTTCATACTTTGCCGTATCATAATTAATGTTATTAATACCTAGCAACAATGACTTGATTTCCTATCAATCTAAGGATTCATAATAAATTAATGCTTTTCATTCTATATTTTGTCAGGATTCTTTTTCTACACAACTCTGATAGTAACAACTTTATGTCAAGTTTTAGGTGCTGAACAGTCTAACATGCCACATGTTGCTTCTTGACTCGCAAAACAATCATCATAACAAAATGGCAATAACTACATGTGTTGTAAGTAGTTATGCATGTGGATACATTAAATAACACTGGAAAAATTAAAGATTTTGGCAAATTTTCATGTTCCCAGTCAATAAACAGAGAAATCAAGGGAAGTAAATCTTCCAGACATACTGTCCTGAAGATTTAATATAATAATTATGACATGATGAGTTCCTTCCCCTGGCAACAAAACCTATCTAATAAATTTTGTTAGTTTTCATATTCCTTTCACCTTACATTTTTGTTTCATTTTTGTTTACTTAAACTTTTCACATGTGTATTAAATGTGCACAAAAGTACAAAAGTTATGCATCTCAAGCACTTGTAAGTATTTGAGACACAACCAGTCGAACTTGGTTGTTTCGGAAAATAAATAATACAAATTCTTAGTAAGATTTTTTTCTCGAGACTTCATGACTATTACTACTTAAATGATACGAGTGCTCTGCCCACTTGACTATCAATGCACATGGACATGGGAGCACTTATTTTTATGTTGTCTTTCAATTTAGAGGATTCAATCTGCCTTACTACACGTTACTCACATTGTTATTTATCATTGAACAATGACCCAATTTGAGAATTTGTAAACAATCTGACAAGTTTTCTGGTGAAATCTGCAAACAACTCTTAAAACTATTGAAATAATACTAATATTTTACCGTAAATCGTGACGGGGTGGCACTAGTTGTTGTGCTAGTTTCCATTTTGACGCAGTCCTCACTAACAGCTGCGGGAACTGCTGGGACACTACCACGTCGTGTCTCTTTCTCTCCGACCAACTTCTCATAGGAAGTGTCTGCAAAATAAATGGAAATAAAGAATAAATGCGACAATATAATCAACCAATGACGTGTTGCTAGGTAACACTATATTATTTAAACTTATTGTTAGTGTCTGGAAATAGAAGATATTTAAGCGTCAAGTATCATCATTGTATACAGTTCTGTTGCTATTTGTAACCATTTATACTATAAGCAAAATGTCAAGAATATTTTACAACAAACTAATCAAATTTCTATTTCCGGGTGAGTATTAGTACAATTACATTTTAAAAATCAAACATGTGTCCAAACACCAGGTGAATTTCTTAAATGGACTTGTCCTGCTTCCATATTTGGAACAGCTCATTATTAAATTTTTAGGGGATTTCAAGGTATAAATATAATGTCGGTCATCCTAAATTATACAGACTTCATGGAATACTAGACTGGCCTTGATAAGGCTTTTACCCCTTATCTTTATATAATGGATTTGTCCTACTTTGATTTTAGACTTGTCCAATATAAATAAGAGGGATTTTGATATCAATTAAACCTTTAAAATTATTTAGAAAGTCTAGACACTCGTTCTTTTCACTCTTATCAACCCTGTCTTGAAAAAGCAGTCATAAATTAGCTATCAATGTCATCACAAACTTCTTTTAAACGGCAGGTGAAAAAATTTACAATAATCTGTATATTATATTTATAAGAGTCATAAATAACAAGAGTGTTATCTACATATTAATTTAATGAATAATCATCAGAATATGTTAAATGTTGGTTAAAGGCAAAGTTGTTCATAAGATTTTCAGGAAACATGTTCCACTAACTATTAATATTTTTTCTCATGTGATTAATAACACCTATTTACACTGACATAACAACCTTATTTCTAAGGTTTACCTTTAATTAGAACCTGTATAGTATGTAGATATAGTATGTAGATAAATATCTTACAACATGTTGAACTGAACAATTCACAGAAAATCTGCAAACATAAGCATTATGTACAACAAATGAGTTTTCCAGATTCTCTTAGATCTAACTGCTGATAAAATCCTACTTAATGACAGAACAATCATTATACAGTACAAGAATAAAGGGAAAAGCATGTCATTGATTGATATATAAATGATTTGATAGAATTATCAAGGGAAACAACCTGAGACAATTATCTTGTGCTGGTCAAGGGAGACAACTGTCATATATTTACTGGTAAAATAACATCAAGGGAGACAATCGTCATGTCCAGGTAACGGCTGAATAGGGCTCAATATTGTTTTATTAAAGAAAGGAAAAACAGAAGGGATATGCAGTAAAATGCTTCATGTATGTTTTTGCGACACTGTTGTGACCATACTGTGATTCTATTCATCTTAGTCAAACAATGACAGCACACACTTACTTACATCATACTACCACAATACAAGAGATGTGTTCAAACTTTTTAGCAGTTCATCATAATAAAAATATTATAAATTTTCTATAATACAAGCATCTTATATAACTTTTCAAAATCTTATACCATTATCCCACTAAATTTCTTAAATGGACTTGTCCGACTCTTTCAAACTAGATAAATCATTGATTATTTAAGGGAAAATTTTGATTAAAGTACCGAGTAAATAGTGTATACAGTAGAATCTTCAGATCATGGACCGGACGACCCGTGGGCTGGCTGATCTTTGTCTGAACTGATAGCATTCAGTCAATGCCAGTAGGTAAAGCTAAACTAATGATTTCAATTTAAAGACAAATACAATCTCAGCTGTTAACGCAAATGTAAGCATGTCATGTCACCTTCTTAAAATTTATAACACAAAAGAAAGAAAGAAAGAAAGAAAGAAAGAAAGAAAGAAAGAAAGAAAGAAAAAGAAAGAAAGAAAAAGAAAGAAAAAGAAAGAAAGAAAGAAAGAAAGAAAGAAAGAAAGAAAGAAAGAAAGAAAGAAAGAAAGAAGGAAAGAAAGAAAGAGCTATTGATACTGAAGTACAAGTCAACTTCTATAAATCTTCAAATAAATGATTTCTAAAAAATGTTGTTTAACTGTGTGTGTATAATTATATAGAAACTATATTAGGGATGACTATCATCATGTACAAAACTTTGATAGCTATGCCTGAAATAATGGTCTTAAACATCAGGGCAGTTAAATCATCATAATTAAAAGGTTTTGTTGTGTTTACCTGTATCTGTATATATAGAAACTTCAACTCCAGTTATTTCTGTGTCAGTATCCACTTCTGTGATACTTGACAAATCTCGAACAAGTCTAATCCTTTTATGGCCGTTCCAGCACGTGGACAGACAGCCGCACAGACAACTCATCGTCAACAACTCTTGCACACAATTTACACAAGAAGTCCAATAGCCTGTGATAGCTAGCTCATCAACAACCAAGTCAGTGTACAATATTAATCAAGTTAGTAACATTTTCACACCACTTTCAACAGATAAACAGTTACTGCAAACCACCATTCTACATCTTCAAAATTTTCTGCAGTTTAAATGCATAACTTTTATTTTCTTCCAAAATCCACAAGATTCCCTTTGGACATATAAAGAACCGAGCAAATTTCTTTTTACAGAAACATTATTTTCAAGAAGAGGAATATCCTTACGAAAATTCCATCTTTTAACTAATATAAAACACGAAAAACAGATCCTCAATATTTCACATTCTGTATCACTGTCAATGTTTTGAATCCATACTTCGATGTAAAAAGGCAATGTTCCTTCACAATTTCTCCATCTATCAAATAAATATTTAATAACAAAACGTTCAGATTCCAAAGGAACTTAAATCATTCAAACTTTATAATTTCCTTCAAAAATAAATACTTTTAAGAGTATTCATTTTCATCATAAGTAAAGACACTTGACATACAATAAGAAAAATTCAAACAAAACTTTTTTTGAAAATCCAAAGTATTTTTTTTCTTTTTTCAAACAAAGTACTTGAAATTGTTAGGAAATTATTTAAACTAGTAATTATAAGAATTGAGACTTGAACTGTATATTTCTAGACAAATCAGATTTCGTCAAAATGTGGCCATATTGTAAAATATGCCCATCCTTTAACTAAACAAATTTAAACAATAAGGAACACAATAAAAGAATGCATAATGTTCTTTTTCCATTCAGATAGTCAAAAAAATATGCTTGGGCTTACTAAAATAACATGTTAAAATCATGACCGAAATTATTTTTGGAAAGAAATTATAAAGCATAAGGAAATAAAATACTTAAAGAAGAAATCATGCACAAAAATTTAGCATACCTTTTGAGAAAGATATATATTATATGAACAGAAATTGTTTTTCTTTTAGTTTTTATGTAAATAATCAAAATTTAATCTTATTTTACACCTTATTTTACACCTCCCTCAGCACCCCAATGTCAGTAATGTTCTCTCCCTTACTGCCCAGATGATGGTTATATAACAGAGAATCAGTATTATATGGTCTTATTATAACTCTTACCACATATTCAAAATGGACCTGCCCATTTTTTCAATCTGGACTAAACCATTCATCATTTTTTTAGAGAAAATTAAAAAAAATCTTGAATATTCTGTGTAATATATATGGAGGTGTGCAGCTTTAATTTTCAAAAGTTCATCATAGTATACGACCCTTTTCAAATATTTTCCTACCTATCCTGAATAAGTAATGCAGGCGGCTACCATAAGATAACATACCATAAATCAACACCAAATAACAACATTGTAAAGATGGACCACAGGAAGGAAATGTGGTGCAGTTTTTTTGATGATAAAATACATACTATAAACCTTTCCTATGCACATTACAACTCCCCAAATACAAACAAAAAATTACATTTCCCTTTGGTAGAATAGAACGTCATAAACAAGAAGAATATTTCAATAATCTTTAATGACATCCGGGAAGGACCGCAAGCACAAACCAACAACCGTCCCCAGTTTAATTTTATATTTTGACCCATGAATTAATAAAGGTAAGCTTTAAATTCAACAAAATACTTCATCTAGCAATTTATTTCAAAATTTTTTAAAGAGGAAGAAAAAAACCATGTTCAATAACTCATAAATACATGGTTATGCTTAAATTAATTTATGCTTATATTTAAAAGAACAATCTATAAAAATTAATAAAAATAAAAATTGCCAAAAATCAATGCCATACTTCATAGACCTACTAACCATTGAACTGACCAACGGACTGACCTGCCAACAAATGTCCTGAATGAATGACCTACCAACCAACTGACCAACTAATCCCTTACCTGACTGACCTACTGACCAATCTCATGGCTGACTAGCCTACCAACCAACTGACTGACAAATAACATATTAACCAATCTCGTGACTGACTGACCAACTGACCAATATCCTGGATGACTGTCCTACCAACCAACTGACTGTCCTATTGACCAATCTCCTAACTGACTGACCTACTGACCAATCTCCTCACTGTCAGACTGACCTACCAACCAATTGACTAACTGACCTTTGTAATCAACCAAATGACTATCCAACCAACTGACTGACCTACAAACCAATCAACTGACTGATTTACTGCAACACTGACTTACCTACCAACTGACCAATCAACTAACCAACCTAACTGATTACCTCATATGTGATTTGACTTAACTGGCAAACATGAGACTTAAAACTTATAAAACAAAAGAAGCAAAAATTAACAAAAAAGTTTTATATTGATACAAAACTAAATCCATCAGTCACACATATACATTATATCCACAGAGAACCTGCAAACACTTGTCTGTCATATTCATACAGAATTACTAGAAATGACTATAAACACCACTCTAGCATGGTAGACAACTCATGTAATTCTATTTTACTTGCCAAAAATCTCACCAGGTAATAAAAATAAATGACAAATATATCAATATTTGTGTACTATAACCTCTTCATGCATGATTTTAACAATTAGACAAACAACAATAAGTACTCATAAATTACGCTGCATCCCAGGTCTTACTAATCCAATATTTCTGAATCATATAAACAACAGACAAGATAGGTGTGTTCAGTAAAAACATTTCATGATTTCTACTGTGGTAAATATCAGTATCATATATATCAGTATGATTTACTTCATTCAAATATATCAGTGTCACATATATCAGTATCACATAATTATATCAGTATCACATAATTATATCAGTACCACATATATCAGAATCAAATATATCAGTATCATATATCAGTACTATACATATCAGTATCACATATATCAGTACCACATATATCAGAATCACATAATATCAGTATCATAAACTGCACTTTTTTCCTCAGATTTTTTCCGACAATATTACTTTATTGTCTTAAGTTTTTTTTTTAATCAATCACAATAACTGAAACATATTCTAAATATAATATATATTCCATATTAATATTGTATATGTATTTATACACTGCTATACGCTTCAAAATTGATTTAAATTTACTTTAATTTTATAATAAAAATTAATTTTAATATCCATTATTATCGTATGCATTTCAAGGTGAAGGAAATTATATCACAAATATTGAAAATTTTCTTCACAGTTCAAAACACTGAGCAATTTGTAATGTGTGAAAACCGTTTTTAAAATGACATTGCGTTTTTTTTATTATAGTACCCTTGCATGACAGTACTGAAGGTTACTTTCATACTTTTTTTAATCATAAAAGTTTTCTGTGGTTTTGTGGTGATAAAGATCGTGCATGGGACATTGGGTTACACCGGGCATAGATTACAACATCTCTAGAGTAAATATATATTTGGCTCTCTAATTGATTTCTAGGCTGTTTTACTCATTTTACCTGCATAAAAAGCACAGCTCATTTCACCTATATCTTTAATTGCTTATTACAAAAAACAAAAAATTACCAACTGGCAGATTTGAGGTGAAACTTTTTTTTAAACTATTTTCAGCAAGGGCATGGCTAATACCGGTACACATAAAGTGCATGATGTTGTAAACAAGACGGTGCTAAATCACTCGATACTTTATGTTATTGTTACCTCATGTGCATAAATTTGTATGTATCATAAGGTAATATAACCTACTTGCTTTGAATTTTAACGAGTATCAATAATAAGTTGAACTTATAATTCTGCTAAATTTTCATCTTACTGACCTGGCTTTGAGGGATCTCCACTTTTCCAGATTTGAATCCAGAACAGTTGAAATTTTGAATCTAAAATTCAATTTAAGGAATTTTAAAATTAAATAAATAAACTACCTGATATAATTTTCTGGCTGTTCAGTACTATTATATGACAAGCAAAAAGCATTCTGGGAATGTACATGTTAATGTCACTTTTACAATATTTAGTATCACAAGTGCATAATTTACAACAGTTTTACTGTTGTTTTTATTCTTTCAACTATCATGCATACAAGATTTTTCATAATTAAAATTTAAACAGTCAAAATGTATAATTTAGAAATTCATATAGTCGAAGATATTATTATTTTTTTTTTTATCTATTTATTTATTTTATGGGGGGGGGGTTTATGTCAACAGAGTTTAAGGTTATATGACTACTTTCCAGCTTTTTATTTTTTGGAAGAAGAAGACCTCAGTACATGCATGCACCGGAGTTCCATAAGCTAGCTGGATCTAAGCTTCCTCACATGAAATTATGACAAAAGAAGAGAAGGTAACTTGCACTTTCCAGTACCATGAACAGGCTCAATCAAACCTAGCCTGCAACATTTTCAATTTTGTCATGTTGGGCTTTGTTTAGGGATTCTATTTTTCTCTATTTTTTAATATGAAAGGATTACTGAACTGGCAAAACCTGGGCAATAAATTTTCAGACATTTATAATACAATTAAGTAGTCACAATTTGATATTATCGATGTGTGTCTTAAACCACAAACATTTTTACAAATATATTTCATAATGCAATCTGTATAGATCTAACACCTCAATTTTTTTTTTGCAGTTTTGTTTAAAAATTTATAAGCATTTTTTTTTAACTATTGCATGATTTTAATTTTAATGTGCATTTAACACTACAATTTATTCTTCTTAAAGTGCATGCAAAGTGTCATTGGCTTTATTTCCGAGATTAGGTAAATTTAGTGGAAAAAATATAAATTATGCAAATTAGCTTATCTGCAAAAGTCAAACAAGGTCAACAGGCAATAAATTTATTGCACTTTACAGGCTTTATGCAAAAACCGATGTACTTCAATGAAATTTCTGTTAAAGTTACAGCACTTTTGCTGCGTGTCTGTAGATACTAAATTTAAGGCATCTGGTAGCACATGCCAGACTTTGATTAAAATCAAATATGACATTTTTAAATTTTCAAATCTTCTCTTTACTTTTTCCCCTACAACTACATGCAATTTTTCATTCAGCATATATTAAATATTACAATCTCCAACAATACTGTTGTTTATTAAATATTACAATCTCCAAGGACATTTCTAAACAATACTGTTGTTTAATAAATATTACAATTTCCAAGGGCATTTCTAAACAGTACTGTTTAGTTTATCACTACAAAATGAGCTTCCTATAAAAAAAGACCCAAAGATCCAAAATTATGGCAAAGAGGCAGAAAGATATTAATTCAATGACAAAACCCCTGGACATATCAGCTTATATATATAATTATATATACACCCTGAGGCAATATAGAGTGGAAATGACAGGAAATAATATTAGTTCTACCAATGATCAATATGGAAATATATTTTTTTCTACATGTTGTATAAAAGCTTAATTTATGGAGATATCT